GAAAGTATTTAAGGTTGAAAGAGTCTGGCCTGAGGGAAGAATCAGAAAGGCTATTCTGGCATTTAGGGAATGACTTGGGAAAATATATCGAGATAGGAACAGAAAAGGCAAATAAAAGGGAAGCAAGACGTGGGCATAAACTAAGTAAATCCAGGTTACTGGGCATTAGAGAGAATGAAATGGCGGTAGGTAAAGGTAGACTAGAAGTAAATCCCAAAGGAAGAACAAAAAGCTTCAATAAATATTATACGGAAAGTGGGAGAGAAACTACAGAACTGAAGGCATTTCAGTTATAGGGAGGTCTCTGTGAGCCACGAGGAAGGGGTCTCCTTATATCCCTCAAAGTGGACAAAGATCCCAGTTAGAAAATGATGAAAGAGGAATCCTTTAGCCTTAGTGGACTTTTAGTAATGAGTTCTATCTCAACATTCAGAAATACATTTTTCGTGTGCAGTTTGTAATTATGGTGCATATGAATGAAAACTAAAGTATAACATGCTGTTTTTGTTTTGTTTCGTTTGGGTTTTTTTTTGCCAGAAGGTGGATTTTTCCTACAACCAAATTTCTGAAATGTGTGATCTGTCGGCGTATCATGCTCTCACGACACTAATCTTGGACAGTATCCTTTGAATGAGTAAAGAGAAAAATGAAGGGATTAAAATGTAAAATGAAAAGTAAAGGAACAGTTCTAGATAAGTAATTTGCTAAATATGTGACTCGTTTAAATGGTGAAGAATTGATTCTCTCAAAATGAGGAAAGATATTTTGTTTACTAAGGAATAAACCATGGGTCAAGCTTGCCAAGAGCATCTTAGCTCTGAAAAGCTAAGACAGTCATTTTTTTCCTCACAAATGTAGACTTATTCTTGATTCCAGAACCAGAGAAGAAGTTCTATTTTAATTAATTCCTTTCTTCAAATTTACTTTTACTTATGCCTTATTTTATATAGTAAATTCAGCATTTGAAAATTCAGATGTAGTCATAAGAAAAATTAGTGAATATTTTACAAAAGACTTCATACTAAGTTCCCTTTAAATAGGAAGCATTTCTAGTTTACTTAAAATATGTTTCCATTATCTTTTGCTCTACAAACGTTAGGAACATTGTGGACCAGGCTCCATGCAAACAGAGTACCTACTTCGTTCCAACTTCTAGAGCCTAAGGGGCTAACCAGGGGCCTGTGAGTTTAATGAGCTTGAGTCTTTACACCAGAGACTGATGTTCTCTGGGTAACAGGGGAGCAGTGCCGGCTCTTTCTCACTAAGTATCCCTCTGTCCTCCTGAGGATCATTCAGGGCGGAGTGGAGAATGATTTGATCACCCCTGGGTGCCTCATTCCAGGGATGTGGCAACCGCTGGGGTGTGCTACGTTTATAATAAGGCTGAGCTGTGGGGAGAAGGTACATTTTCTCAAAAGGATATTTTGTAAAGAACACTTTTTTCATATACAATGGAGAGCTTAGAACGGCACCGCTCCCTTTAGAATTTATGTGTGAAAATGGGCTATCGGAGGATATTTAGATGGTGCTTAAATGAGCAAGTTCTGATGACAGCCTAATTAGAGAAATCAGCAAGTGACCGCGATGAAATGTTTTCATGACAAACCAGAAGTAAACATTTTGGCAGCATCTTTCTGTAGAACCTGAACTTTGTGATTGACTGTCATGTGTATTGAGTTTGCAGACAGACAGGCTGATAGTCCAGCTTAGGCTGTGGGTGCTGAAGAGTGCTTCTTCAGGAAGACACCAGCAGCACAATCACCTACAACTTCTTAGTAGTGCAGATTCTGGGGCTCTACTCCAGACCTACGACATCAGAACCTGCATTTTAACAAGCCCCTCCATCTAGACAATTTCAGAGCACATTAAAACTTAAACACTGGTTGGTCTAGAAGTCAGCAGTCCCCTAAACACCTGTAGCCAGAAGAGGTTCAGCAACTAGAAGAATCACTTGGGTCCCCTGAATGAGGAAGGTGACATGGTGGGCTCGAGTCTGACATGGAGAGCTCTGTCTCCCACAAAAACATTCTTCCACATGCTGCATAGAATTGCCAAAGAAAACAATTCCACAGTTTTTTTTTTTTTGCAGTTTTTGGCCGGGCCTGGGCTTGAACCTGCCACCTCCCGCATATGGGGCCAGCACCCTACTCCTTTGAACCACAGGCGCTGCCCAACTCCACAGTATTTTTGACCCAAAATATGGTTTAAAACATTTCTATCATGAATACATCTTAACTTGTATATAAATTTAGCTTTTCATGTAAAAACCTAAGGTATTATGACTTTATAAATGTCAAATATCATGAAGAAAGGAATTAGGTTTTTTCCTTTTAACTTGACATTAGATTTAGCAATTGAGCCTTATCACTGAAGTATAAAAAGCTGTAATTAGTACATCAGAACCAATTGAAAGTCAGAACATGGGTATATAATTAGAGTGTAACATGACACCATTTCTCACCTGAGTTTTTTTTTTTTTTAATGCAAAGACAGGTAGCCAAAACAAACTACCCTTCATAGACGATTGATGAGATAAACTTGGATATCTTACAGTTTTGAAAAGATAGTAGGCTAGTTTCTAGACAGTACTAAATAAGCCACCTCCTTTATTCTGTTCAACCATATTGTGCGTGATTTAGGTAGTAGAGTTTTACAAGTTTTTCTGGATAGCTGAAAGTAGAAGTTTCAAGTTATAAATGACAAGTTATAAATGAATCCGGGGGAAAAAAGCACTAGATGATATTGGTTTTTGAAAAGACTAAAAAACTTTAAATGAGATAAAAAGGTAGGAGAATTATAAAATGGACAAATTCCTAGACCAATTTTGTGTGTCAAAACACTAATTTGGAAATAGAAATCCTGTATAGTCCTGTAACTATCAAAATAATTCATTATAAATTAAAATAAACTAGGGCGGCACCTGTGGCTCAAAAAGGAAGGGCGCCGGCTCCATATGCTGGAGGTGGCGGAAAAATTTAAAAAAAAAAAAAAGCTAAAGTAAAATAAACTAAATTTAAAAACTGAAGCTCTTCCTAAAAAAACCAAACAGGCTTTTAAGAATAGACCTTCCAATAGGAAAAAAAAATTAAAATTAAAAATAGGAAGCATATTCATAATTCATTCTGATGAGGTTCCTTTGATGTACAAATGAAACAAGGAATAGTAAAAGAAACAGAAAGAAGAAGCTCACTTCACTCATGACGTAGTTGTAAAAATCCTAAACAAAATATAAGCAATTGAATCTGACAGCATATTAAAAGTACACTGTATTATGATTAAACTGGGTTTTTCTTAGATATGTAAGGATAGTTTAATTATCAGAAAATCTATTAAATGTCGATAACTATACTAACTGATTAAAGGAAGTAAACCTTATAATTAACAGATAAAGAAGTACAACAGACATAGAAAATTTAATAAAATTCAATATTCATTCAGAATAAAATGCTCAGTAAATTATTAATAGGTAATTTTCACAACGTGATAAAGTGTATCTACAAAAATATTTGAAGCAAACTTTTATCCTAACT